GGATTTCACGTACCAGGCGGGTCATAACAACTACTACTACTACTACTACTACTACTGCTGCTGCTACTACTACTACTACTACAGCTACCACCACCAAACGAATCTGCAGAGTTAGTAGTGAGATTTTGTAAGCATGCATGACAAGCAAATACCCCTCGACCATTTGACCATAAAGGCAGGCACCCGCTTCCTTCTTTTATGCACTTCTGCGTCTCATGCTGTCAGCGAACAAGGTTCTCTCAGCCAGCAGTCCGCCAAAGTTGGCGGTTTAAAGTCCCTGGAATAACTTGCAAACGCTGGACAAACAACATTTGATCGCCATTTGACGGTGCTGTGTGTCACAGTCCGAATAGTATAAAAGTTTTGCCCAAGCGGAGTGAGGCATGAGGACAGTAGAACAGACCCGTATGTACCGTGACGAAAGTCTACGCGGCCACTATTCAACGTGATCTTCTCTAGGTGCATGCTCCATTGGAAAATGAAAATCAAAGCAATTTTTTTAGGTCTGTACGAAAAAGTTGGTCAATACCCACCACCGCCTGCATACCATGCAAAGCCATTGAAGGCCAAGACCAACATGAATACAACGAATATGTTCTTGAGTTATGAACCTTTCGCCGCCTTGCATCTGTGTACCACTTCCACAGAAATGCTCACCCTACTACGTGTATTTTGTCTATCGCATAATATTACTGACTTCATTTCGGAAAGTGAATCTGCAATCAAGAGGGATAACTTCACACGAAGTCAAATATTAATAACACTGCTCTTCTCAACGCTCGCCCTCCTCTACCTCCTCGTCGTCCGATAGTAAACAGCAAAGTAGACCGAACTCATCGTAATTCTCATTCCCATGCTTGTTTGTAAAACTAGTATCTACGAGTGGATGGGAATGAATCTACCTCCACATGACAGTGAGTGATCGATCTCATGAAATGCTGTCTGAAATTCTGAAATGCGTTTACGATTTCGTAGGATTACTTGGGTGCGGTTTTAATACTGATTAACATGCGACATAAGCAAGTAACAATTCGGACTCGACGGGATGTCGGCATTTGTGTGCACCTCTCCTACAAAAAACAGATCGGCAAAAAATGACTACTTATGTAGCATGCATTTTTCGATGTGATTTTCGATGGTCTTATAAATTCAAATATATCTTATAGAAAACATGCACAAAAATATGCTCTCTTCTACTCATTTGATCGTAAATCACGTCGATATCATATTTTAGGCTTGAAGACAAGGTTCATTTAGGTTTAAAAAAGTTTTTCAATTCCCGAATAACTTTTAGCCAGATCAGCCGTTGTTTTAGCGTTCAACAATTTCATTCTACGAGGCGCATGCTCTCCGTGTAAGGAAAATAACTTATTACTCTATGCCTTTAAGAAGATACCATATAGATTTCATGAAATTTGGAGGACTACCTTATGCATTTCATTAAGAGCAATGGTAACCAGACAGATACGATGCTGTATGAATGAAAAATGCACGGCCTTAACAATCGTATAATTAAAAAGTTTTTTAAAACCAAAATATACCATGTATTCAGGCAAAAAAATGTAAAGTCGCCGTGATTTGCCACCGAATGAGTAGAAAAAAAGCATATTTTTGCGCATGTTTTCTATAACATATATTTGAATTTATAAGACCATCGAAAATCATTGCGAAAAATGCATGCTAAATAAATAGTCATTTTTTACCGAGTTTGGGTTCTGCAGGCGATCGAAAAGAAATGCATTCAAAAGCCGACATCCTGGCGAGTCCGAAATATTACTGGATTATGCGGCATGGTAATCAGTGTTACAATCCTACCTAAGTAATCCTTCCAAATGGAAAACGCATTTCAGAATTTTGGACAACATTTCATGTGGTCGGTCACTTACTGTAATTTACGCGCAAGTCACCACTGCTGAGACGACTTCGTGGGACATACGACAGACATCGTCACCCGCAGCGACCAAACTCTCATAGTTCGCGGGTGAATTATGTACACTTAATGCACTAGCTTGTCTGTCAGCGCTGAAAAGTACAGACCGGTAATTAGCCCGATCTGGACGAATCTACCTCTGCATGTCAAACGATGTCTCTTCTCGCTGCTCACTTGGGTAGGCATATGGTCGCCACCAAGTTACTTTATTAGCACGCATCAAACCCAAACCGTGTGCCCATACTTCACTTCCCACCCACGGTTTCCTCGTTGACCGCGCGTACTTCAGGTTATTTCACATTCAAAAGACGCCAATAGCAGCCTCTAGACTGCGCAGCCTTGTCTGATAGAACTACTGCAGTTCCTTGTCAAATGAAAGGCCTGCGTATTCTCACATAACCGATCGACTCACTAACTCTGCCAACTGCCGCCCCATCGAAGCCACCGTTCGCCGCACTCCGCCGATCAGAACCTGCAGACCAT